CCCCCCCCCCCCCCCGCCCCCGCCCCCCCTCGTCTCCTGTCTCTACGCAGGCGTGCTCTGCCAAGTTTTCGGAACCTCGGCTTTGTTTCTGTTCTTGGTGGCCCTGCTCTCCGTCACATTCGCCCTGCTCTTCACTTTCCGGAGGCCGTACCTGGACTGTATCGACATCACAAACAGGCGTAAGGCGGCCGTGGGAGCAGCCAACCCGCCCTCTCATGGCGCCGGCAAGTAGCCTTCGGGAGCGCGGGAGCGGGGTAGGGGCCAGTACGATTGGGAAGGATGCACCTTCAAGTTTTTGGGTGGGTGGATGGGTATCACGTCCGGCACACGCACTACATTTTCGTGCTTGCGTAGGATTTACCTATTGTTGTTTGCGGAAGTGAGTGGGTACAGTAGTACTTGTTGTCTGTCGCACGTATCGCGTATCTGTCGGCCCCTGTGTCAGAGTTTTGTCTCTGGCTGTATGCATACGCGCGAGCCCGCCACGATGTGTGTGTGCGCGTTTGTGTGTGACGCACACCGGGGGGGGGGGGGGGGGGCGTTACCGTGAGCTCCTGGCATTGTCTTGCATGCTTCTCATCAGCATTGCCGACCAGTATGTGTATGGGAACATGGGGGGGCATGATTCAGCCAGAAAATATCTATTCTCCACGAACGCGCAGGCAAAAACCGGCGAAGTTTCAGAAAATATCACCCGCAGCTGTGTCCGAACTTCCGCATGAGAAACAGCTTTTGGTCGAGGAATTGTTGTGTGGCTAATTTTGTGGATCTCTGCCGTGTGTCGTAGTTTTTTCCAGTCGTTACGATTTCAGGCTCGTTTGTGAAGTACCTGAACATCCCCCCGCTTCAGGCTAAAAAATATCATCATCCTGGGATAGATAGTCTGCGATCGACACCGGTCTCTCACTGCGTTGTATAGTAGGGACCTGCTTAAAGGCCTTTTTGTTCGCGTTCACCGATGATTCTGGTGTGTGGCCAGCTGCCCTATCGGCCAAATCCTTCGGCACCATGCCGCTTTGTGTTTTATTGTTGTCGTCTGCACATTAAGAACAGTTCCGATCTCTCTATCCCGTACCCCCGTCTGTCGGTACTGATCTCGTAGTATAGTATTGAGTGGTAAAACGTTCGTTTCCGAATGAACGTCCTTATCGGAGGGCGGCGGAAGGAACCGTTCCCGCAGCGCTACAGATTTACGGCACGCAGAGAAGTTCTTGTGTGCCACCGCGGATCGGAGCTCTTGTCAGAGAGGAGGCGGCTGGCTGTAGGTGTAGTGCACGGCTCGCGTCGGTCGAATGTACATCCAGAATGGTCACAACGCTCTAATAGAAGAGGAACATTCTGAGACAACCAAACATATGTACGTGCAGGGCAGGCAAGGCAAAGAAAACTGAATTAGATTCGAACACTGTGCTCTCTCGCGTGGAGCCTGAGCCGCACACAAACGTACTTCAGCAAGATACCCGAACTATGGCTGAAGGTCTGAAACAGATTTCCTGCCACCTCAACAACATCAGTTCGGGATTATGGTTGTCGTCGATTTTGTGCTGTCGCATCCCAGGCGAAACCACTCTCCATATCCTGGAGTTGCGAAAAGGACAGTTGTACTCACACACACCCAAACGGCCAGGTCACGGCATGTGTTTGCTCCAGCTGGAGTCATACACAAAACGAGGTATGCATATCACCCGCCTCTACAAGACCGACCTTCATAGATGGAATGCTTCAAAACCGATGGGGTGCGCTCGCCGAAAGGGGGTGGCGGTGGAACGATCGCGACGAAAGCATCGGCCGATGTTCGCACCCTCTCAGTTGCGGCTGCAAAACTTGGTTTTATCTCATGTGTGTGGGCACCCTTTTTTGTCCTCTTTACGGTATTCAATGAGTCGTTGAGAGTAACCAAGACCGAGAAGAACAAGGCTGACGAATGTCAAATTTCTTGTAAGGGCGACGAAACGTGCGCAGCGGGAATGGTGCAACACTCCGTTATCTTCCTTGTGCTGGCCTGAAACCCCGATTTGCAATTGGGGAACCATAACATCGAGATGTGATTCGAAACGAAACTTTTTGACGTCCAATCGTCCCTGACCCGAGGAGTGCTTCAGCACCTTGCATAATGGGTAGTCTTTCTGTGTGTGTTTTTATTATTCCTTAATGCAATTTTACATCCACAGTCTCAAAGCTGGTGGCGGAAAAACGATGATTATTTGCCCTTTCTTCGCTGGACCAAAATTCATGGAGTCTGAATTGACATTTTGACACCTTGGCGAGATCCTTTCAAACTCGGCTCACAAGCAGAGACGAACTCCCCGTCGGGATCGTAGAACCTTCATCAACTTGTAGGAGAGAGGCATGTAAATCCGACACGGGAAGCACCATTGCCATGGCGGTTTGATGCGCCTGACAAGATAACTTTCGAGACGTGCATACTACTTCATCATGGAAATGAAAACAAGCCAATTCCCGATGCAAGCGCATGGGTACTGAAACTCTGCAAACAGATGATACACTTCGGCCATGGAACCTGAACGAACAATCCGTCCTTCTCCACTGACCGTGGAATGAACCGCGCAATCACTTTCACAGCAGCTTCTCCGGGCCACATCTCAAATGTCGCAGCGACCTTGGCCGCGTCACTCGGGAAAAGGTAATCGAAACTCGGACCGAAGGCTAGCTCTTGCAAGGAGACCGGCCAAACAACTCCGGCAATAGGCTGATTGAACTCCCACCCGAACGATAGCGGTTGCAGGGACGCCGGCCACACAACTCCGGCAATAGGCTGATTGAACATTGCCCCGAACGATAGCTGTTGCAGGGACGCCGGCCACACGACTCCGGCAACAGGCTGATTGAACATTCCCCCGAACAATAGCTGGTGTAAGGACGCCGGCCGCACGACTCCGGCAATAGGTTGATTGAACATTGGCCCGAACGATAGCCGTTGCAGGGATGCCGGCCACACGGCGACTCCGGCAACAGGCGGATTGAACATTGGCCCGAACAATAGCTGTTGCAGGGACGCCGGCCACACGACTCCGGAAACAGGCTGATCGAACATTCCCCCGAACGATAGCTGTTGCAGGGACGCCGGTCACACAACTCCGGCAATAGGTTAATTGAACATTCGCCCGAACGCTAGCTGGTGAGGGACGTCGGCCACACGACGCCGGCGACAGGCTGATTGAACTTATCCCCCAACGATAGCTGTTGCAGGGACGCCCGCCGGCCACGCGATTCCCTCAATGACGAGAAATGGAACCTGGTTCGGAGTGTGCCGCACCTGGTTCAGAGCCAGAGCTCTGCCGCGCTGCCGCGACGCCGCGACGCTGCGACGCCGTGACGCCGAGACTCCGAGACTCGTAGTCTCGGAAGTCTCGAAAGAGTCTACTGCAGTGCTGCAGTGTCTGCAGTGTACACTGTACACTGGTACACAACACGACCCGTACACGACAACTGTTTACACGAGGCACGAGAATCGAGATAGACTATTATCTATGTACAACTCAGTACATTGCCACACATGATATGTTTCAAAGGCATGGGCCGACAGACAGTCGTATGAAGCCGCGAAGACGCCATGAACCGGCGCTTAGCGGGTGGGCCGGCCCCGCGGATGGGTTGGGAGAATGTTGCGGCAGCTCCTCAGAGCCCGTGGATGTCCGTGCGCGTCTGTGGACATCACATGGCGGACTCTACGGTGGACGTCGACGGATGCGTCCGCGGAAGCGTTCGCAGTCGTCTATCGAGAGGCCGTAGACGTCCGTAGACGTGTGTGGACCCATCACTAAGAACGTCGGATAATGTATACCAGTTCACGGAACCGGAACCGTCATCGTCCCCACTACGTAGCAAAGAACTTCCGGTGCACCGTAGAGCGATGGTGATGCCAGGCATCGGGCGCAGTTTCTTCTCGCCTACGGGTCAGCTGAGGGGCGGGGTTGTATCCATCGTCTGCATCTGTAGACGGGACCGCCATACCGCTTAAGCAGGACGGGAAGGATCAGGAGGGAACGTACTCTCCTCAGAACCACCATTCAGTCCAGTCAGCCAGCAAATAACAACGACATCTAACTTCTTCGCTCCGAGACACACCGAGCTGCAACGGCACTCAAGTCTACCCTCTGACCCTGGGATGAGCGTCAGCCTGCGGATATATCTTTGCAACCACCGGTGTCTGCAAACACATATCACCGAGGGAAAAGAACGAACAGAATAGCGGACGTTTCCATTTGACGCAGTGTGTCTGTTGTGCCCGCTAAGTATAGGCGTAGTGCGTAAAAAACTGATGTCGTACGAATTCTCGGTCGATTGCCGTTGCTGCACGCATGTCCGATTTCCAAACTTCAAACACAACACACACTGCTCCATACACCAAAACATAATTTTGGGAGAAAAAACGACCGCAGAGTTGAAAACAGGTCCTAGTAGTAGCTCTCGAATCAACCACGACGAGAGTCTGTCGTCGAGAACTCCAACAAGAAGCCACGTCTACCTATACCAGTCGCCAAGCGCACAAACGTCGTACGGACATACCGCTACAGCGCACCTCGTACCACGCACAACAAGGCAAACACAGCCGCCAGAGAGGTATTAAATTTAGTTGAAAAAAACAAAGGAAGTTGGAGAACAACGCAACACACTCGGTGCGTAGTGTATACAGGGGTGTCGAATCCTCCCCCGACAGAGGTGTCTGGGCTAGGGTACTCGAACGCAAAACTTCCATGAGGAAAAGCAGAAAGCAGAGGTAATGCATGACAACACGGAAAACAGTAACAGATCGGGCACAAAAGACAAGAATCACACGAAAATGGCATGTTGGTGCCCTCCATCAGTTGACTCTGACAAAAAATGGCGATGAACACCTCCCCCCCCCCAAGTCCAATCAATACAAAACACTACCTGCAACAACCACGTGGACGCAAAAGCACACAAATGCACCACCAAAACAAGGTAAACTCATTTCCTACGCCGGTTTTGACGACGAACAGAGAGACCAACAAACTTTGGTCGGGGACGCAACCATCCCTCACTGCATGAAATTTCGTGTACAAAATGGACGTATGCATATACCATGACTTGTTGGATTTTTGTTGCTCTCGCATACGATTCGCCAGCAGTCCGTCAGGCGAAAGATGAGATGACCGCCGCACGCTTCATTTCGCCACTGTCGACTTTATGTACCGAGTGAAAGGGGCTATATCAGGGTAAACTCGGCCACAAAACACCACGAACGCAGTAATCATGGACCAATCTGCGACTAGTTCGACTATTGACAGCGATCACCGCGGTACCCTCCCGCACCCCTGGCCGAAAATGGGGGGGGGGGGGGCGCGCGCAACCGAATGAATTCACAAAACTCTTTCGAACAACAGCGCCACGTTGGAAATGCAGCCAGTCGTCGTCTCAGTAGTCACCTCATGTACCAGGGATGGGCCTAACAACCTGAACCTCGAATACAACTCACGAGCGAACTTCAGCGCACACTCCTACCCACACGCGCCATAGTGGAAGCCTCTCTCACTCAGTGCTATGCAGACCATTGCCCCTGACGGAAGCTTGCTTCGACAAAGTGGTAGCGAGACTCGGACCATGCAATCGACCACTGACCACCCATTATTTTATATCTTGCGAGGCGAAGAGAAGTACCGATCCTACTCCTATCAGAAACATCCCCGACACTTTGACGCCCTTTCTGAAGGGGAGGGCTGCTCGGTGTCGGCCTAGACTGCCACTCAGATCAGGGCCGTCACGTTCCGTTCGAGACACGGTCATGGTCCCAAGCACGAATCAATCGCGTTTGAGAACGAACGAGTGGAACTACGACAGAACTCCTGTCCCCAGCGAAGCCGGAAGCCTCTTGGAAACCCATTCGTAGGTCATGAAGGTGATGGCCTGCCCGGGCATGATCCGCATGAGCCGGGGCGTGAGGCCCTTCCACAGAGCCTTCACCCCTTCCTCCTTGGCGATGAGCGAGATCGCCGACACGAAACCGCCGTACTTGGGCGCCTGCCCGGGGATCAACACCTTCGAAGAGATTCATGGCAGCAGGCGTTTTCGACGACGGGGGTGCGGAGTGGTGGAGGGGTTGGTGTACGACGCCGCCCGCAAGGAAAACTTAGTCGGCGAAATATCTGCGCGCGGCCCTGTGTGTGTACCAGTTGTTGGAACGATGTCGGAGAAACGGAAAAGAAGTAAGCCGGCGGCACCGACGAGAGGCAACTTTGTAAGACGCGTTGTGTCACAACATGGACCAAGGCGCACGGTGTCTGCACGCCAACTTTTCCGACTGTTTTTTCTTCTTCCTTCACAAGCTCCCGGCGAGTGTCCTCGTTTGGGGGTGCTCGATAGAGTATTGATCTACGGGCCCCCCGGGGCCCCGGGGAATGTGGATGACACACGGATATGATGGACATGTTGAGGGAGTTTCTTCCTGCCTCCTCCGTGTCTCTCGCTCCCTAAAACAACAAGGGTCTCGAGTCAACCTTCTTTTCTCTATCGGTCTCTGACGAAGCTGTGGCACGCAAACACAGTATATCGTGTGGCTCACAGCGGCACCGGTGTAGACCATGTGTTCTCGCGGGGTGAGTCACGGTAGATGGTGCGAGCCGTGGCGAGGTATTCGAGTTATCGCCGAAACGATTGCACTGGAAATAACGGCGTAGCATTTCTTGATGTTCATGGGTTCCACGAGTAGTTTTGGGTGTTATTTTTCAGAGGGGCGCAGCATTCGGGGGGGGGGGGGGTTGGTAGATGCGGGTTTCGCGAACAAGGCAACCAAGCGGCTGTCTGTTTCTGGGGCGTCAGTGATGTTCACTGGTACATGTGTGATGTGTACGTGCAGGACGCAAAAGAGCGTCACCCTGTCCTCGACAGAAAGTGGAGTACATAGTCATAGACGAACGAGGCTATTCGTTTTAGGGATATGTAGAGTTTTTGATGTTTCCGGACCGCGATGTGGGGTGCACTTCAGTGCAAGAGGACAATGTAGATGTCATGCGCTTGGCAAGCGACCCGGGCTGCTATTCCCAACTCGAAGCACATCGACACCCCCCACCATTTCCGCCAAGGTGTAGCGTGGGGGGGTGTTTCAGGTACATTGCTCATGCACGATCGGACCTACAACGCACATTTCCTATTGAAACCGCAAATCGCGACTTCGTCAGGAATATTCATTGATTTTGTTTTGTGCTGGATTGCTGTTTGCCTCCGTTTTTGGTATACATCTGGCACGTGTAATGTTCAGAGGCGGGGGCGTTACTGTTGTATGTCCTGGGGTTTTAATTGTGCCTGTCGAGTAGCGCCCTTTTCTACTATTGTTGTTTTGCTGTTTTCTGGCCTGGCGTCAGGGGTGTACGCACGAGAGTCATGGCGGAGGAGATTAGGGTTCCATGACCCTAGTCTTTGTTTCGAGATACAATAGTACTTTGATTCGGTTTCATGCTCGAGGGGAATATTACTGGACAGGGGCTGTTGGGTTGGTGTATTTGATGTTATGTACGTGTTTGGGAGAATGGGTTTGGCATGTTATCATTAGTCACGGTTGAGGCCTCGGTGCTTCCAAAAGTTGAAACATGGTGTTTACGGGAAATTTGTGTTGAGTGGTAGACACATCTTCCTGGAAATGACCTGTCCTTGTTCTGACCCGATCCCGATGTAATGTTGATCTTTGGTGGATGTTTGGGATTGCTTGTTTTGCACTGTCTAAGAGCTTGGTGAAAACAGGTTCTCGAGCAGGTTGATTTTGTTGATTGACTCAAACCACATTATTAGCGCACAAGGAAGAAATATTGTGACAAAAAATCTGAAATCTGAAAAAGAGCCAGTTATCGGACATGATCGATAGTGAATATCTTTGATATAAACGATGGATAGTTTTTTGGATATATTTGAGGTTTCTATTAACTGCGGTGTGGCCTGGCAGTTCGTAGAGGATCGTGAATATCTTTTCTCGGCGGGCTGTTTGGGGGTTCTCGGCAGTGTACTGATCTATGGGGACTACTAGGGGGGGGTACGTGGATGACATGGGTGTTACAGGAATGGCGAGCGAGGTTGTTCCTGCCCCCCTCATGTCTCTTCTCTCTTAATAAGAAAGGTCTTGAGTCAACTTGCAGTCTCTTGTCGGGCTCAAGCGAAGCTGTTGCGCCTGAACAGTCCTGTCGGCTAGTACCGATGTAGACGTAATGCAATAGGGCGCTATTCACAGACCTGCGACGCCAAAAAAACAAAAAATACGACGACAGCGCACCTGCTGCTGCAAGCGAGTTTTGCTAACGTCGAGCGGGTTGTTGACGCACGGCCCAATTCCACCGCTGAGCCCCCCTAGCAACATGTGGTGCCACGGCGCTAGCTCCTCCGTACCCAGGAGATCAGATAACTTTGTCTTGAAGACTTGATAGCAGGTGAAGTTGACGGCCTGCGGTGTAACGCAGAAGTGAGGTTGGGGGGGGGGGGGGGGGGGGGGGTTAAAAACTGGCAAAAGG